TTCCTCCCTCCCTCCCTCCCTCCCCTCCCCCTCCTCTGGATACAGTATGAGTAGCTCATGTTCCTGCTGCCTTCTTGCTACAATGGGTCTCAAACCAAAAGCCAAAAATGAACCCTTCTTTAAGTTGATTTCTAGGTATTTTGTTATAGCAGTCAGAAAAAGGAGCTTGCTTCCCAGCCTGAAACTTTATTTGAAAAAAATTTTTTTTTTAATTTATGAGTATTTTGTCTCAAGGAGGTCAGAAGAGGGCATCTGATCCTCTGGAACTGGAATTACAGATGGTTGTGAGCAGACGTGTGGGTGCTGGGAATCCAGGCCAGGTCCTCTGGAAAAGCAGCAAGTGCTCTTAACGGCTGAACCATCTCTCCAGCCCTGTGGGTTTTGATGGTTTAGAGATTATAGTTCCAAGTGGAAGTACATCAATGGTGCCATTGAATTAAACCCTCCGAGTGACTATTTGGGGCTTATACCATTGGCACTATAGGCAAAAACACGGTTTGCTTTCCTGGCTGGGCATATCGGTCCTGACTGCTAAGGCACACTGGGTTGCTGCTCCACCATGGTGACACAGAAGAGAATGTATGGAAAGGGACTGTTTTCATATCCAACCATAAAAGATCAACAGAAAATTACAGCCACCCAAGGACTATTGGGGTTTAAAGTCATTTGCCAGATAAAACACCCAAACTGGCTGAGGCACAGTTGGAAGCAGAGAACCTATGGGCAATGGGAAAGAGAGAAGTCACAAAGATCAATGACGGCCAGCCTAGGGGTCATTTCAGAAACTGACATGAGGATTTTCTTCTGTGCGTGCGTGCGTGCGTGCGTGCGTGCGTGCATGCGTGCATGTGTGTGTGTGTGTGTGTGTGTGTTGCAGGCTGAATAGAAGGTGGCTGGCAACAGTTACACTTCTATCTAATTTATGTACTACAGTATGTGAGGGAGGATTGTGAACGCTGGAAGTAAAGGAGGCCTGAGTAGAATCCAGCCTCCTGCCTCCTCCAGAGACGAGACTGACGGAAGGGAGGAGGAGCATGTCCTCTTTCATCATGGGTTTAGCCCACTGGGATCCATGTGTTATTGTCCATGAGTAGAACTTTCATTAGTACTGAGAAGGGTTTTCATGGATGTCGATAGACCAGTAGGGCGGACAGCGCCAGACAGTTTCTGTGTCTACAGACTCCACCCTGCCCTCTCTCGGCCATGGCTATTTTTATGTGTGTTTCACACACCTAGTACCTGCAGAGGTCAGAAAAGGGTGTCTAGTCCCTGCATGGGGAGTCATAGATGGTGGTGAGCCACCATGTGGGTGCTGGGAATTGAACCTGGGTCCTCTGTAAAAGGGACAAGTACTCTAAACCCCAAGCCATCTCTCCAGATTTTTGAGACAAGGTCTCAGGTAGCCCAGGCTGGCCTCAGATTCGATACCTGAGTGAGGGTGACCTTGAACTTGATCCTCTTGTCTCTACATCCCAAGCGCTAGATAATAGGTGTGCACCACCAGGCCCAGTTTATGCAGTGCTGGGGAGTCAAGCCCAGGGCGGCTTCGTGCATGCTAGGGAAGCACTCTGCCAACTGAGCCACATCCCCAACCCTATTTTTTTTCTTGTAACCTTTCTTGAAACCATGCAAATTCTTATACTTTATTTTTTTTTTTGGCAAAATAAATAAACCTATGCTCTCTCTGGAACAAGCTATACTCCCAGTCTGAGCATTTTAATGTTTCTCCCCCCTGGAAATTATGGTGGGAACACATGCCCTGGCCAACCCCTAAGAGGAATGTAAAGGAACGGATGCAAACACAGTCTATAAACTGTGAAGTTCTGTGCCCAAATGAAGTGGACTTAGGACAATGGCTGCAGCTTTTGACTGTACGTGAGGCTGCACTCCGTCCTTCCTCCACATCACGCTGTGGAACAACAGGCACTTGCCTCCTTGCCCAGCCGGCTTGCTCTCCCAAAGAGCTGGACCTGAAACCTCGCACCTCTGCCCTCCTCTCCTGACTTTGGAAATGAGAGTTGGGGAGACCACACGGTTTAGAAATGAAAAGCGATTGCTCTTCCTGGATGCTTTATTGGAGGCTCTAAGCGTGAGCGGCACTGACACCCAGACTCTTTCCCAACATGCAAAAGGCACAGGAAAGTGAGACCAGAGGGGGCAGTGTGGAGGAGAGACCCCACTGCATGCAGTATGGGGAGTCTCTGGGAAACATGGAAAGGTGGAGGTGGCGAGGGATGCACCCCTGCTCATGAGCTGAGACTGACCTTCAGAGGGAAGGCCAACATGGCTTTTGCTGAAAAGTCCCACCTGGAAGGGTGGGAACTCAACTCAAGGTAGGAGTGGCTGGTGGCGGCTGCCCTTTGGGATTTCTGAAGTGCCAGACTGCACCAGCTGGCCAATGAGAAAGGGAAGGGGGTGGAGGGGTGCCCATGGGATTAGTTGGTCCGAGCCATGGGTGGGTTTGGGGGTGCCACTGCTTGGCTTGAGCCAGTGCTGTCTCAGTCCTTGTCCAGGAGAAGAATGAGACCCCTTTCGATCTTCAGAGGCCTCCACAGGGACTCTGGCTCTCCAGTCCCAGACAGAGGTACTGGTTAGATGAGTTGGGTCTCGGTGTTGGCTTTGTCCTATAGACGAGGTCCCTGCCAAGAGGGAAGGGGAGGCTGGGGTCAGGCTCTCTGAGTCCCCAGCACCTCCCAGAACCTGGGCCCTGCTGGGTGGAACGTCCTGGGACTCACCTCAGATCCTAACCAGTCCCCACAGTAACGTCTTGAGACCTTGAATCAGAAGCAAAGGCATTCGGGTTTCTTTTCTCTCGCTTTTTCTCTCTCTCTCCTCTGGTAGAGCCGTGGCCTCAAATCACGGCGTTGGCAATGTCTACTTCTAAACTATGAAATGTCGTCACACTGACAATAGAATTACTGGGAAGAAGGGGCAGGAAGTTCTGTCCAGTGCTCATGGGACAGTGAGTTACTGAGAGGGAGTTGGGAAGCACACAGCACAGAGACACCGCCAGTCACACACCAGGCCCCAGCCCAGCTCTAGATGTATTTTTTCTTGAGGTACCAGTAGGCAAAGTAGCCCATCCCACCCAAGGAGCCCATGAGGAAGGATGCCCCAAAGAACGACGGCGGCTTCCGCTTGACCAGTCGGAACGCGTTGGGGATGACGGCTGACAGCAGCGTGGTGTGGATGTCCCCCAGGACTTTCCGGAAGGCGAAGCGTCTCTGGACCCTCTCAAAGAAGGACTGCAGGTTGGGCCGGCTGCCATCCTCCCAGTATTTCTTGGACAGTCCCAGGAACTTGAGGCGGTGCAGCGTGGCTCCCAGGAGGACATCCGCCAGGGTGAAGGCACAGCCACAGAGCCACAGCTCACATTTCTGCCCTGGAGAGGGAGAGGACACCTCGCACTCAAGCCCTGGCTCTGATCTGCCTGCCAGTGTCTCCTGAGGCCACCCCTCCTGAACCTCTTCAGTGGCTGCTGCCACGTCCTTCCCATACCGCCTTCCCTCTTAGGTCAACTGACTTGTAAATTGCAAACATCTACCTTATTTCCTTTCTTCCTTTTTTTTTTAGACAAGGTTTCATGTAGCCCAGGCTGGCCTCTAATTCACAATGTAGTGAAGATAACCTTGAACTTCTCATCCTCCTGTCCACACCCAAGTGTTAGGATTATAGGCTTATACCACCATACCAAGTGTGTGCAGGGGGGGGGGAGGTAATGGGAGGGGTCAAATCTAGAACTCTGTGCAAGCCAGGCAAACACTCTGCCAACTGAACTACATTCCCCCAGCCCTTTCTTTTTCTTTACTTTTTAGTTTTGGAGACAGGATCTATAGCTAAAACCGGCCTTACACTTGTTTTCCTCCTGCCTCAACCTCCAGAGTGCTGGGATTACGGGCTGCACCACCCGAAACTGTAGACTTACAGCCTAGCTGTTGGCCGATAGCTCCACCTAGTGTCACTCCCCATTCCAAATGTAATGTGTCCAGCAGGGACTTCCGGATTGTTGCTCCCCAGTCCACCACACACACCCCTTTGCTGTACTATCTCTCCTTCTGTTCGGTACCAGAGCCATGGTGCCACCACCAACTCTTCCTTCTGTTGCCCCCATAGTCAGTGAGCTGGTACTTCTTATTAACTTTATCTTCAGAACACATCCAGACTCCAGTGTCTGCCTCCACCACCCTGGCCTGAACAACCACTCTCTCCTACCCACATGGTCACAATGCTTTTTTTAAGTGATTCCCCTTGCCTCAGCTTCTGCCCCCTGAAGTCTACCCTCATCACAGCAGCCAGGGGGATGCTGCTAAGATCTAAATGGGATCCTGTCAAAACTGATGCCCTGTGGTCCTACCTGTGTGGTTTGCCCCAACTCCCTTCCGGGTCTCGGATTCTGCTTCCCCCTCAACTCTTACCCACCACACCGATCTCCTTGCAGATCCTCACGTCAAGCCGGCTCTCACCTCAGGGCCTATGCCTTGGCTGTCTCCTCTGCCTGGAGCAGTGTTCTCCTACCGAAGTGATGGGCTCAACTTATCTCCTCCATAGGCCTTTGCTGTCTTTTCAGGGGACTTCACAGACTATCAATTTAAAACTGAAGGGCTGAAGGTACAGCTCAGTTAGTAGCGTGCACTAGGCCCTGGGTTTGAGCCCCTGCCCTGAGTAAACTGGACATGGTAGAACACACCTGTAATCCCAGAATTTGAGAGATTGGGAGCAGGAGGAGCAGAAGTCTGTGGTCATTCTTTGCTGCAAAGTGAGTTCAGGGTGAGTCTGGGCTACTGGCTAACGGGGCAGGGTGGCGTGACAGGGACACCAGGCTAGGGTTGCTGCAAAGGTGTGGGTTGATGTGTCAGGGTCAGAGACGTTCTCTGCACCAGGCAGAGCCCCCGACATCCCCTTGCAGGGCCAGGTGACGCCATGAGTGCTGACAGCCACAACACCATCCTTTTCACACACAGGAGTAATGCATGTCACCTGCTGCCCACCCTGAGCACTCTGGATGTCTCTCACCTCACAGTGTCCCAATAATTCTGTCACTCTCCCCACTCTGTGTATGGGAGACTGAGGTCCCAGTGCAGGGAGGGACTTGTCAAGGCCACTGCTCCAGCCCTAGAACCTAGGTCTGCCTGACTCCCCAGCTCTTGACCCTGACAACTGGGAGGGCTCTGGGATCTCTGGGAGAAAGGGACTGGGGGTTGGCAGAGTGGGTCGGGAAGCAGGTGGGCTGAACCCTTTACCCCTGCTATGACACCCACCCTCATTCTCGAGTTTCCTCTTCTCCAGCTCTGCCTCAATCTGGTCAAGCACCATAGCCAGCTCCCCAAGGATCTTCTTCAGGTAGCTCACATCATCGTGCTCCAAGATCTTGGCCTACAGGCGGAACAGGCATCTGCTCAAGCATGAGCTGGTCTCAGGGGGGCCATGATATCCAGAGATGGAGTACTGCCTGCCCTCCCCCTGCACGATCCTGCCTTCAGACACCCACTCCAGTGTATGGCATGGCCCACCATCACAGTACACCCTCACCCAGGACTGAAGCTTGCCCACACTCCCTGGCACAGGGCTGGAGCAGTGCCACCACTGCTGTGTGCTAGGTGTACCAACGTTCTTTTCCCAGAGAATGGCTCTCTGCCAGTGAGGAGCTGTCTTGCTTCGAAGCACACGGAAGATGATCCGCATCCCATCAGGCAGTCTGTAGTCAATGGCAACTGATATGGGGGTATGAAAGCCTGCTATATGTGTGGTGCCTTTTACATCCCCATGTCTGTGGGGTCAGATGAGGCTCAGTCACATCCCCTTCCCTACCTTTCCCCTGTCCCTGGAGCGCTCTTACATACTGTCTGATGCAAGAACCTGTGCTCAGGGCTCTGTTTTCAGAGACAGCACAGACCAGAGGCAGGGGTGGGGTGGGCTTAGCTGTGGCTTTTCATGGCCAAGCAGACACGATAGATGAGACATGATTGGAGGATCAAACCAGTACTTTTTCCATGTCAAAGCATCTGCTGATCCTCCATCTAGAACCTTCTTCTACTTGGAGGGAGGGGACATAGTCAGAGCACTCACCATAGCTGTCCTGTCTGTGGGAGGGAGGGGATGTAGGCAGGGTGCTCATCATCGCTGTCCCTGTCTGTGGGAGGGAGGGGATGCAGGCAGGGTGCTCATCATAGCTGTCCCTGTCTGTGGGATGGAGGGGATGTAGGCAGGGTGCTCACCATAAGCTTCTTCTGCTTTGAAAGGTAGGGCTCAGAGAGCTGTGGTTCCTCTTCATGGTCCAGTTTCATGAGGTCTGTGGTGGCATTGGCCAAATGTCCTGGAACAGAACAGGAAAGGTCCTGTCTCCCTGCCCCCCAGGGCCTCTCCTTCCCACATGGCCAGGAGAGGGCCACCTGCCTGGGGCACAAGGGGCCAGTAAACCTTGTTGAAGAGGACACTGTAGCCTTGAGGAGGAAGAGGAAGAGGATGAGGAAGAGAAGGAGGAGGAAAAGAAGGAGAAGGAAGAGGAGAAGGAGGAGGAACAGTAGGAAGTAATGCTGGAAATGTGTAGAACCTGAAACCCAGAGCTGTTCACCTTCCCAGAATCCCCTCCCCCAAATGGAGCCAGTCCCAGCTGGAGGTGTCTTCAGAGCTCCTCACCTCAGATCAGGCCCTGTAGGCTTTTCCTCCAGCTCTCTCACGTTTACGCGCCTCTTTCCGATCTCCATCGCCCAGTGTGCACCTGTAAGCTCTCGCTTGGGTGAGTCTCACGGGGTTTCCTGTGTAGCCCTAGCTGGCCTAGAGCTTGCTGGATAGACCAGGCTGGTCTCAAGCTTGTGGTGATCCTCCTGCCTCTGTCTCCTAAGTGTTGGACTAGAGGTTCGCATCACCCCACCTCTCCCAAAGGGCTTCTGTGTACACCCTCCTGCCCCTGCCCCCTGTCTCCAGCTCATCCTGGGCCCCGTCAGGTAAGTGCTCCAGCTCTCAGCTTGCCTTCAGGAACCACGGGATCCATCTCTCTCTCAGCTGCTCTATCTCTCTGCCCCCATAACCCTGTCCCCACAGGGTACATCTCAAACACTCAAATCATTTCCCATGTACCAGACCACTCTAAACCTCCTGGTCCACATCTCATTTCCTGGAACAACCGTGTCCTCTATTCTTTTTTTTTCTTACAATTTATTAGTTTTATTTTGATATGTATGGGTGTTTGGCCTGAATGCATGTCTGTGCACACGTGTAATGCTCTAAGAGTCCTGAAGAGCGTGTCAGAGCCCCTGGAACCTGAGTTACAGTTTTAGCTGCCATGTGGGTTCTAGAAACAGAACCTGGGTCCTTTGCAAAAGCCACACCTGCTCTTACCTGCTGAGCCATCTCTCCAGCCCCCAGACCCTCTGTTCTTGAATGCCTCTTTCTGGATCTAGCTGAACATCTCCCCTCTATGACCGCCCCCCCCCCCAGCTTCCAGATCTGACCTCAGGGCCTTTGTTCCAGTGTATGTTCTGCAGACTCTGCCGGGAGATGCAAACCTACCAACCTGGGCTGCCACAGCCCAACACCGCTCATCTACGGCCTCCGTGAAAAGCGTCCCTTGCGCAGTGCAGTGCATGGCCTATATTGTTTGCCGGATGTGGTCATTTGATGTTGGTGTACTTATCTGTTTCATAGCCTCTGAGCTCGTGCTCAGCTATAGCTAGATGAGACTCATCTCTGTTCCCCAAAAGCCCAGCACAGGCCTGGCCCAGAGCAGGATCCAGTGAGTGTTGGAGAAAGGAAGGGGATGGGCAAGAGTGTGAGAAGCTGCAGCCGTCAGGTAGCTGTCCTCCGAGGTCTCTTCACCTACCCCCCACCATGGCCTGATGCAGTCAACACTGTCAGCTCTTCCAGCTCTGGGCTATATTAACTCTCACTGACGTTTCATGAATGTGAAGGTCAAGCCAATCTCTCTCCATGGCTGCCCCTGTGCCTGTCTTTAGACTATGGAGAAGACCTTGGAACACGTTCACAGTCACTGCGGGCTGACTTTGCTCCTCTGCACTCTGTGAGGTGCCCCCGCCTTCCCTGTGGGATCCTAAAATTATCTCTGCTTCCTCAAAGGGATGAAAGCTGGGCCCACTCTGAACCCCACTGCCTTCCAGGTTCCATCAGATGGCTCAGGACAAGATCAGGCCTGTCACCTTATACCTCCGCTCTCAGGGCCTCTGTCTCCAGGAAATCCAGAACTGCTCATGTCAGGGCCCATAGCTCTTTCTCCGTAAAGTGCGCCCCTCTTCCAAGCCTGCTCCTCGGATTCACACGAGACCCTGCCACTGTCCTATGCTCCGCTCTGCCCAACTATACGTCCTTTGGCCACAATCCCAGGTGCTAGGACCAACATTTTCTGTTGCCCTGAGACCTCTGTGTTGTCCTGATCTTGATATTGGAACTATATCTAAAAATTTTTTTTTTGTTTTCTTTTGTTGAGACAGGGTTTCTCTGTGTTGTTTTGGTGCCTGCCCTGGATCTCACTCTGTAGACCAGGCTGGCCTTGAACTCACAGAGATCCACCTGGCTCTGCCTCCTGAGTGCTGGGACTAAAGGTGTGCGCCACTGTTGCCCAGCTAAAATTTTTAACTAATTGATTTGTGTACAGGTTATATATACAGACTAAAAACTCAAGCAAAGGGAAAGATATGCAATAAAAATAAATCTCCTTAGTCAGGTGTGGCAATGAATACGTCTGTAATCCCAGCACTTGGAGGCAGGAGAATCAGAAGTTCAAGGTCATCCTCAGCTACATAGTGAGTTCGAGACCAGATTGGACTACATGAGACTACATGTCTCAAAAACTTCCAAACCAAACCAAACCGTAATTACCTCTCTATCTTCAGACTCTCAGCTTTACTCCCTGGAGACTAACAGTACTGCAGTTTCTTGTACTCCCTGAAGCATCCCTTGCACCAAGAGTCCAGGGCATTCTTTAGTACTTGCTAGAGCAGGTGGCACACTACAAGCTTGTCCTCTCCACTTTTTGCCAGTCATTAGCATATCTTTGAGAAGATCCCATGTGTCTATTATTTTTCAGTATAAGAGCCCCATAATGGGTTTACTCTGTCTTCAACTCATAGACGCCAAGGTTGTTTCCAATGATGTTTCTCACCACACTATGGTGAGAAATTTGTATACACTTCTTGGTGCACAAGTTCAAGTGTTAGCTTGGGATAATCTTCAAGGCATGAGCCCTTTTGGCCTTTGGTACAGAGCGCCCTCACCCCCCATCCCTGGCTGTCCAAGTCTCCTTAGCTTGCACTGTCGTTACCGGACCTTGTCTTTGCTTCCAGGAGTGATGATCCCAGGATGGAGGAAGCTGCGTTTATCTCTATCTGTTGGCAGCCTCACCCAGGGCCCCGCTGATACTGCTGACATATAGGGGCAACAGCATAGAGACAGCTCCTGAGTCTTCCTCAAGGACTGAGATTCACAGCCTCCTCCTCCCTGCCTTCGCACAATGGTGAGACAGAGGGGGATGGGAGGGGAAAGGAGGTGACCACTTACGGAGCATCTAGGACTTATTAGACATGGTCATGGCTCTTCTGCCTACAGGACCACCAAATTCTATACCAGAATCTAGATGCAAATCCCCACGAGAAAACAATTGATGGGTCAACTGACTGGACCTAATTTTTATTCATTGAGTATGGGTAGGCTGCTAGTTAGGAGAGTACATGGGTGACCTTGGATCAGAGAACAGAGACCTACTGGGTGCCATGCCTGGGCAGCCTTCTGTGGAAACCTTAACCCTGATGTCACTCAGGCTCTTGGCTACCTATGCAGGGCCCTCCCCTTGACCTCAGTTGTCTGCAGCTGGGACTCCCTAGGAGGTCTCACAGACCTGGGAGAAGAGCCACTGGTGGGCCATCTGTGCAGTTATCTGAATGGGGCGGCAGGAGGGGGGTGCGCACAGGGAGGAAAGACAGAAAGGAGAGACAGAGGAGGGGAGGGAGGGATGAATAGACCCAGGAACCACAAGGAGGAAGTAATGGAAGGTGAACGGAGGGCTCTGTGGGGCAGGACTCACTGCGGATCTCAGCCGTGGCGTACTTGGGGATCATGGAATCCGTGGTGAGCTCAGGATGCAGGATGCAGCCGTGTGTGTAGGCGTCCATGGGCAGGGCATCCAGCAGTTCCCGGTATTGCAGCACTCGGGCGTGTTGTGGGCTGCCTGCCTCAGGCATCAGGGCCACCACATGCTCTGTGGGTACCACCAAGGGCTAGAGCAGGGTCCGTGCCTAGCCCCACCCATAGGAACCCTGAGCCCCAAATGCCATGCCTGGAAGTCCCAGACGTATCCTCCTGGGACTCAGCCACTGTCTATTGGGAATCCTGGTGACCCAGTGGCGACTCTGGGCTTCACTAAGCTATCCCTCATGGGGCCAGCGACTCCCAGTGCAGGATAGTAGCCAGGTGGAGGGAGGTGTGTGCCCAATGCTGCCTGCTTTCCACGGGCTGAAAAGCTGGATGCTTAGAACTTAATCCTCCTTGACTTGGCAAATAATTATTAATTATTCACATCCATGCTTCTTTTTTTTTTTTGAGATGGAATCTCACTTAGCATGCATCCCTGCCAATTCTCAAACTGGAGATTCTCCTGTCTCAGGCTCCAAAGTACTGGAAGTACAGAGTGTAAGCATGTGCCACTATGCCCAGAAAAAAAAATATTCTCTAAAAAAAAAGTTGTTTTGAAGTTGGGTGTCATGGCACACACCTTTAATCCCAGCACCTGAGAAGCAGAGGCAGGGGAATCTCTGTGAGTTTCATGCTAGCCTGGTCTGCATAGTGAATTCTAGGCCAGATAGAGCTACATAGTGGGACCCTATCTCAAAAAAAAAATGTTATTTTGAGTTGAGGTGGGTCTCAGCATTGCCTCACACTGAGCCATGCAACTGAGCCTGGCCTTGAACTCCTGATCCTCCTTCACCTTCACCTACTAAGTGCTTAAATTACAAGCATGTGCTATCATGTCCTACTTGCTAATTCTTGCTCTTAAAAATAGTGCAAGCCTGGGCGCTGGGCCCACTGTCCCAGCCGCCTGAACCTCTCTCTGTCACAGGCAGCAAGTGCCTGAGCCTTAGAGGCCAGAGGGAGGGAGAGGTAATGGAGAAGTTCTGGGGTGTCTTGTGTGTATCTTCAGGGTTCCAAGTTGCCTGAGAGCATGCCAGCGGGGTTCCTGGGAGTCTGGTTCTAACTATGCTTAGAAGGTTGTAGGATACCGGGCCCTGAGAAATTTGATTCTGTCTATGGGAGCACGAGGGAATCCTGAGGTCCAGGGCTGAACCCGAATCTGCAAGGGGTCCTGGGGAAGGAATGGAGTTGTACCCCAACTGATCTGGGGTGCCAGAGAGAGATGTGTGGCCCTGGGGGCATCTGAGCCCTGACAGTAGCCTGTGGTTTCTTTGGGGGAACACTGAGTCCTGCCCACAGCTCTGTGGCTTGCTTAGGTTCAAAGATGGTGTCCGAGCCCATGGAATCCCTGTTGCATACCCCGCTCACACCTATGGGACATAGCATACCTCCTGTGAAGGTGCGTTCCACGTAGTCAATGATCTGGTCGTAGTCACTGATAATGTTGTCTCGGTGGATAATGACTGGCACCTCCTCACCCAGGTTGAGCCGCATGAACCAGGGCTCCTTGTGCTCGCTCTGCGGCAGGCTCACATCCCTCTCTTCACAGGCCAGGCCCTTCTCTGCGATCACCAGCCGCACCTGCAGGCACCAGGGTCAGAGCGGGGGAAGGCGGGTGGACACAGGGGACACTCTGCCCGGGTGGGGGAGGCGTGCAGGAAAGGAGGTCAGAGGTCACACACAAGAGGGGACACTTGCTTGCAGCCCATTCTTGGGCATTTGGGTAGGGGGTTATGGCTCAGGGTCATGTGCTTGGGGGTTGGAGAGAAATGCAGCCCTAGGCTGAAACACAGGGTAGTGCCGCCTGGCGGCCAAGGGGCTAACATGTTGGGCCGGGGTTCCAGCTGTGCATATGTGGGCGAATCGCCTCAACCCCCAAGGCCAAATGAAAGTATTAATAGCTCCAAGTTTGTGTCTAGCACACAGATGGTGCTCAGTTCATGTTTATTGTTACCATGATGCAGACACTCAGGGGTAGATCTGGCCAGGAAATTCACAGAAATTTCAAGTGTCATTATAACCAAGAGCTAAATGTCTCAGATGATTTGGGGAACCAAGTGCGGTAGAAGATAACGTGCCTATATCCCCACAGTCCTGCTTTGCTCTAAACACTGTCCCATCTCCATTGCCTGGTTGGATGCTGGCAACAGCCACCAGAGGACAAAGCAAGGGGGCATCTAAAGCCAAGAGAGGGCTGGCATCGTGCCCCATGTCACATAGCTGCTTAGCAGCCAGCTTATAACTAGAAGCAATGGTTCTAGACCAGGGTCCTCTTTTGGGGCGTTTCCTCTAGGGAGCTGTGGGGCTAACCTCTCCTGAGTTTTCCCTTATGTCTCTAGAAGGCCAATGTGACTAGGCACACACCTGACTCATGCTGTGTCTGGGGACCTGGAAGACGCCCAAAGTTCTTGTAGCCCAGTTGCCCTCACAGGTGGGGTGAGACTCGGGAAAGAGGATGGTCTTGACCCAGATCTCTGGGAAGGGGATGGTGGCAACCCACTCCTACACTGCCCTCCCATCTTTTGGCTCCAGTCCAGAGCCAGGAGGCCACCTCCAAAAGAGGCAGAGGCCATTCTCGAGCATCCTGTCCACCCACACCAGAGATGGCAAGTCCTGGGCTGAGCATCCCGACCCCCTCCGAGATCCCAGGCATCAGAAGAGGAATCTAGGGTCAGAATCACAGGCTTGTGTCTGTTCCAACCCAGAAGGTGGCTTTAAAAGTCCTCTTACTTCTGGGAGCCTCCTCCTGTACGGAGTCCCATTGTGTCCCCTCAGACGGCTGTGGGAGGAGTCACAGCCCCACCCTGTATGATGCTCCCATACACTGTAGGGGTGATGTGTTTTAGCTCCTTGGATTAGACCAGGTTAGACTGGAGTCGTTTGGGAAGGCAGACTCTCAATGGCTAGTGTTCTGTCAACCTGACACAGACTGGAGTCATTTGGGAAGGCGGACTCTCAATGGCTAGTGTTCTGTCAACCTGACACAGACTGGAGTCATTTGGGAAGGCGGATTCTCAATTGAATGCCTCCGTACCAGCCAGCTGTAGCCAAGTCTGCAGTGCATTTTCCGGGTTAATGGTTGATGTGGGAAGGCCCAGATCATTGGGGGCAGGGATACCCCTGGCCATGTGGTCCTGGATGGTAGAAGGAAGCAGGCTGAGCAAGCCATGGGGAGCAAGCCAGTAAGCAGCTCTCCGCTATGGCCTCTGCCTCAGTCCTTGACTCCAGGTTCCTGCCCTGCTTGCGTTCCTGCCCTGACTTCCTTCAGTGACTGAAGACTGTTCTCAAGACTGTTACTTGAGAGTTATAAGCTAAGGTAAACTCTTTCCTCCTCAAGCTGCTTTTGGTCAGTTTGGTTTTTATCACAGCAATAGACTAAGACATGTGGTTTGGGAGACAGAGAGACTTGGAATTGAAGCCCCACCCTACTGGATGTTTGCTATGTGATCTGACAAGTCACTTGACCACTCTGATCTCTGTGTAGCCCTGCTGTCCTGGGACTCACTCTATAGACCAGACTGGCCTTGACCTCATGGAGATCTGAATGCCTCTGCCTCCTTAGTGCTAGGATTAAAGGTATGCGCCACTACCACCTGGCTGACTACTCTGATATCTGTTGGTATAGTTTATTTCTGTAAGATGTGGACAGAGTCTCAGCACAGTTAATCCATGGTCCTAACATGGACACACACACACACACACACACACACACACACACACTGCACTCCCACCTGGAGCCCTTCATGGTTCACACTCGCAGCTAATGTGGACACCCTTCCTTCTGTTTGGTGGCTGTGCAAAGAGAGGTCATTCACCCTTGAACTTCCAACACTCACTCACAGCTTCATTTGCTCTATTCGCCAAATGCTAGTTCTATAGAACTGGGCTAGACATGGGGACCCAGCTCATCCTCCTGGCTCTGCTGTGTGACCACAGCTGTCACTGACTGCAGAGCGGGCAGCCTGGGGCAGCATCTGTTTGCTCTAGGTGTGTGAGTGGGCAAGTGTGTGTGCATGTGTACAGTGTGCTTGTGTGAGTGTAAAGGAAGTGTGTGTACTCGGCCTGGCACAGCGTGTGTGTGTGTGTGTGTGTGTGTGTGTGTGTGTGTGTGTGTGCATATGTGAGCCCACTCGTGGGGGGCATGCTGTACTGTGTAGAGGCCCCTAAGCTTTGAGGTGGAGCTGGGCAAGAGCAAACACCTGGTCCCTTCTTCTTGTGTATCCCAGTGGCCTTCGGCTCTGCCAAGCTGGGGGAGGGAGGCTCCTGGTCAACCTGGGACTTCCCAGTGGCTGGAAAGAAGACCAAGCCAGGCCTTTGTCCTTGGCCTTGGCCTTCTGCCCCATCAGGGCACTTTTCACCAGAAGCCACACTCTGGGCTGTGCCCCGAGGCTCCCTTGAGGGAGTCAGGTAGGGGCTTCTGCCTAGGGAGGGACTATCTTTAGAGACACAGTAGCCCTGCTTGGAGCTGCCTCAGGTCACGCTGGCAGATGGCCAAGGAGACTTTCACCTTTAGCGGAGCTGAAGGCCAGAGCCATGTGCCATCTTGCAGGGGAGAGAACCCAGGCCCAAGGGAAGGGCACACAGCCACCACAGCCATCTGCCACTCCATCTCCTGGAGACTTGGCTAGACCCAGGGGGTCACCACTCTGTGTGACCATCTCTGGGGAAATCTGTCTCCTTTGTGGGCACCTGGAAAGTGTTTCCTGGTGCCTCATTGGGGTGTCTCAGAGTGGGATGGTTGTGATGGTCTGGGTTGTCTTTTCTGCACAGTAATGTAGTTGCTGTGTGACTTTGTAAAAGGCACTCAGAGTCTCTGAGCCTTATTTATTTTTCCAACGCCCCTTCCCCTTAATACTATTTATGAACAGCTGCCAATTTACCAAAGCAAATACTTTTTAATTTAATTTATTATTATTATTATTAATTTTTTTTGTTTTTTTGAGACAGGGTTTCTCTGTGTAGTTTTGGTGTCTGCCCTGGATCTCGCTCTGTAGACCAGGCTGGCCTCAAACTCACAGAGATCCACTTGGCTCTGCCTCCCAAGTACTGGAATTAAAGGTGTGCGCCACCACCACCGCCCGACAATTTTATTATTATTATTATTATTATTATTATTATTTTTTGAGACAAGGTCTCTAGCCCAAGCTGACTCTGCCTCTCTAGATAGTCAAAAATGACCTTGAACTTCCACCCTCAGGCCTCTGTCTCCCCAGTGCTGGGGTTACAGGTGTGTGCTACTACACCTGGTTTTTCAGACACCAGTGGCTTATAAATTTCCAATGCTGTTCATTGGGCACCTACAAGCCAGGCCTTGCGCTAAGTGCTGGAGGCCCTGTGGTGAACATAACAGACCCCCGTTCTGCCATTGCTGACATTCCCACAGGACAGATGGAGGGAGGATGTCAAGACAACAGGGCAGCGCCATGGGTACAACTTCGAAGAGGATGGAGTATCTCAACAAAACTCCAACAAGGTAATGGAGTGGTCCACATGGGGCCCTGGGCAAGGGAGCTGCAGAGGAAGAGCAGCCATTGCAGAGGCACTAAGCAGAGCCGTAGGGACATGTCTGAAGCAACGGGAAGCCAGGATGGGTGGGGGAGGACCAGGGATGGAGTACAGGGGGCGTAATGAGGAATCCCAGACTCAGGTGGGGGGGGGGCATGTGCAAATAAATGCAGGGAGCCAGTGAGGACAGGAATGCCATGTCTGCAGTGACAGAAGCTACCTGGCTGCCATCCTCTCTTCAAGGATGTGGGCCATAAGGTCTGGTGTGGGTGTGGCTTCACAGTTGTAGTTACTCAAAGTATGTATATATTCACTGGGACTTGAACACGACCTGCTGCCAGATTGTGTTAGATCGTGGGCTAGTGCAGAAAGACACGTCATTACATAAAAGAGTGGTATTAAAAATATTTCCATAGCTGACCTTGAAAATGACTGGTTCCCTTTCTGCTCTAATAACCCTATCGTGGAACATTATTCAACTGAAAGCAGCATGCTGAGAAGGGTCCATGGGCCTTCTGTAACTGACTGCCAACCAGGTTAGACCCCTTCGGATCACTGTGAGGACTCGGAGTCTCTCCTGGAGGGAGCAGGGAGCTACTGTGGGTGCCTGGGCCGGAGTGTGCTGAGCATGCCGCAGGCGGGTCGGTAGGAAGTGCCCAGAAGTTTCTAAGGCAAGGTAGTTAGTTGCCCTTCCAGTTCTTGCATGGTGTCAGGACTGGTCCCTGGCAGGACCCAGACCTAAGACTTTTAACACTGGGAGCTGAAGGCTGGGATACAGACTTCTTATAGGTGCTGCCAGGACAGAGGCAGGACCCACAAGAATAGAGCGGAGGAACCTTGAATGTTGCAGGGGGCCAGGGTGGCCTGAGATTTGCTCTCATAGGAATAGCAAGACCATCAGCAGGCCACTCTCTTATATCTTTCTCCTGTGCCAGGTGCTGTACTGAGAGTCTTATGTGAACTAAACCACACGTCCCCTACAGGGACTCAGGGATGTGGGACCAGTACTCATGAGTCCCCTGGCACTGTCAAGATCTGTCAAGTTCTAAACTTTACAAGAGGAAACAAGCCCAGAGACTATGAGTGACCTGGTAAAGCTACTCAGTAGCAAGTAGCTTAGTTCTTAAAAAAAGGAGGGGACAGGTATAAGGGGAGTGGTGTGTGTGTGTGTGTGTGTGTGTGTGTGTGTGTGTGTGTGTGTGTGTGTAAGGCAGAGTACACTGAGTAGGGAAGGCTATTCTTTCTGCACGGGGAAGGAGAGATCCTGACAGGTTGTAGCTTTGATTTTTTTTTCCTATGGAGGAAACTGAGGACCAGAGACGGCCAAGGGTGTACCTAGTTAGTGGAACTGTAGTCCTCTGACTCCCTGATTTCTGCCCCTCTCGGCATCCCTCTTGTCCTGAGAGGCAGAGGAAGCCAGAGAAGGAACATCCTTAGAAGCCATGATCATAATCCCTGTATTCAGTCACAGCTTCTCCCAAACGCCTTGGTCTCCAACGATCAACCATGATGGTGTCTGACTATCCCCTGTCAGTGTGCAGCTGTGTGAGGCAGGTACTCCATGTGTGACTTTGCATAACACCTTTCCACCTCACACCCTCAGACGGAGGTGCTATTGTTGCCCACAAAAGACCAAACAAAGTGAAACCTAGAGAGGTTATGATACCACAGGGCCATGAGGCTGAGAGGGACAAGGACCTTGAATCTGGCTCACGACACAACCGGTGTCTTCATGGCAGTCAAGGATGACAGAATCCTCGGCACATGCTTTCTAGAAGTCCATGTATTGCCTCCTTTCAGTGACCTTTACCCTCAGTTTACCAAATGCATAACTGAGATATCAGAGTCAAAGTAATGTATACATATCACCCTGCTAGTCAGGGGCAACCCAGCTGTCTGGGCCCAAAGTCTATGCCTTGGGCTCCTGCCTGGTCTTGCTGCTACAGATCTCCAGTGCCCCCAGGGGTTGCCATGAGTCTCTGCAGTAGGCCATTTCTGCAAGTAACAGCTCAGTACCACCGAGGCCAGGTTTCCCAGAGGCACCTGTGGTGAGAGTCTGCCGCAAGCATGGCCTCAGGGCCAAAAGGGATGATGGAACGCACCTGCTGAGTTCCTACTGCACACCAGGCTCTTACCACACACCTGAGTTCTGGAAACCCCTCCAGGAAATCTACAGGTCTAGAGAGAAGGGCCTGTTCGCAGGCGGGGATGTGGAGTCACAACCAGGGGAAGTGACTTGCCCAGAGTCACTCAGTGGGTAAGCGGCCGAGAGAAGAACCGCCAAGCTCATCCTCCTCCTGTGTGCTGCCTCCAGGCTGCTGTGCCTCTACCCTGGTGGGGGAAGCAGGAGGATGGATGCCTAGGCTAGCTGCAAAGACACTCAGCCTAAAGGATGCTGCCGTGAGCAGTCCCTTCCCTAACTCAAGCCCACCTATGCCCTGTGCTCAGGCTGAGGGAAGAGCAGGAGACCCTCTCAAGGGACAGGAGAGGGATGCCTCTCCCTGCCCCACCTTGTGTCTCAGTCACTGAGGCCTGCTTCTTGAAGGTCTGGCTTGGGGAAGGTTCTGGGATCTGGAGGTCAGTCTGACCCATCTCCAAATCCTCAGTGCCTTCTACAACCCAGGGCATGCTCAGCAAGCAGGTAGGTGCTTGGTAAGCACATGCAAAATGCATGGACAGGTCTCAGAATGACCTTGGCTAACTTTGACTTTTCTTTATCTAGCATTTTTTATTTTACTCGATGCTGAGACTTCAGCCCAGAGCCTCAGGCAGGTTAAGCACAAGCTCTTCCACCGAGCTGATCCCCAATCTCATTTCCTAACACTTTAATAACTCCTCACACCCTATCAGCAGACCCTCCATCCCTCCCCAGACACCAACCAACATCAACACTCTGTGCACAGTCTCACTTCATCTTCACGGTAGTGGTGTGCGTCCCATTTTACAGATCAGAACACTTAGCCTTTGGAGAGGCAAATGGGGGCATCCAAAGCTCCATGGTGGGCCAGCAAAGAAGAGCTCACTAGACTCTACTTGCCCTCAGACTCAAGGACTCTAAACTGCGTGACCAAACAGTGATGGGTGGCCCAACCTTCTCAGTATCACCTATGTGGGCCTCTAGACTAACCAAGCCATCTGGGGCAGAATCCAGCGAGCTGTGTCTTAGCCAGGATCACGAAGTGATTTCAAGGCTCAGTGGGGTGTGAGTAGAGCCAGCCTGGAATACTGTTGTGTCACTCCTTAAACAGCCCTTCCAGCAACTCTACCGAGGGGCTGAAGTTCCTGGTGGCTATTGTTACCGCTATCACTATCCCATTTTCCAGGTTATAAAACTGAGTCTGGGCCAAAACGCAAATGCAAGTCTGGTTTCCAAGGCACTTATCTTCAGCAACCCCCACCCCCGTGTGTAAAATAAATGTATGGAAAGAGGGGAGGAAGAACTGGGTAGTCAGATTACAGCGCGGGCTTGGCTCTAGCAGGACCTAGCTCTGGGCTCTGGCCATGGTGCTGAACCTACAGGGTACATACAGGGCTATCGCCCAGCTGGGTATTGGGGCGCAGTATCTGGTCTCACTCCCACAAAGCGGGAAACCCAGTGATAGCACTAGGGTGTACTCTCAACTGCTCCTACCCCCAGCAAGTCGGGAAAGGGTCTAAGGGGCCAGAGCCAGTCTGTGCCTTTAAGAGCAAAGCACAGATCTGATGGGCTGCTCTGAGGGGATGGATTAACTCCTTCCTTCTCGGAGCAAGAGAAAAGGGTGACGGCTGGGACAGACTTTCCAAGCCCAGACTGAAGAAGACCCCCGCCAGAACCGAGGGCCTGGGAGCTGTGTCTTGGGAGCTCACGGTGTCTGGGACAGCGGGTGGGAGGGAAAGCTGGCCCAATGTGAGGCTTCCTCGGTTCAGTCCCTGATATCAGGCCGCTTGCCGGCAGGGCCGGTCTGTCCCCGGCCTTTGTCTCTTGGTTCAGGTGTCCCCAGGAGGGAACGAGGCCTAAGGAAATGCTCCTGGAACTGGGGCTGGGCTCTGCGGTGGACAGGACAGACCCCTCCGCGGAAGCTGGTGCCACCTGCCCCTCGTGGCGGTCCCCTCCCAGCCTCCCGTCCGCACCCTGCGCCCCCTCTACCTTCTGCGAACTGAAGGACTGGGTCCAGTGGTACAGAACCAGGCTCTCCTTGGGCCAATGGGCGGGGCTGGATGCCTCGGGCGCGTCGGGGGCCTCCACCGGCTTGGCTGCATCGCTTTCCAGCGCTGAGATGGGCCACCAGCTGCAGTTGGTGGGGGTCAGATTGTTGGGGGTCGCCATGACAGCCCGCGATCGGAGGAGGAAGGAGGCGGCTCGGCAGCGGCTCGCTGGCGCCCAGCATCACATGGCCTCTCCGAGCCTGCCCCTCTTCCTCCTCCCCCTCCCCGCGATGTCATTACTCACTGGGTGCAGGGGGAGGGGCAAGGGGATCCCGGGGCTCTTTCCTCCTCCTCCTCCCATCTGTGGGTCCTCCCTGAGGGCCCCAGGGAAGGAAGGATGCAGGAAACCGAGGCGAGTGGACCGCGCCCCCCAGAGCACTCACAGCTGGCCCGTCACCTGCGGAAGACTCCACCATCATAATACATTTGTGTCTCTCAATCTTGCAATAGCGCCTCTTAGTTTAGATAAAAGGCAGTATAGAGGTCTATTTAACCCTTTTCATAAGTAGTGTCAGGAAATAACCCCATTTGAAACTGCTGTTTTCTGACTTTCCCCCTCCTAAAGGGCTTCCAACAGCAGAAGGGAATAAACTACAATTTATTAAGCACGTAAGTGCTTCCTCTAGCAGGCACCTCACTAAGGGTTTCACAGCTGTCCACCCTTTGGCCTGTTTTACAGAGGAAGAAAGGAAGGCTCCGAGAAGTGACCTTGCTCAAGGTGACTGGGCTGCTGACTGGTGGGGCCGAGATTCAAGCTCAAGGCTAGCTGCATGCAGGACAGGACCGGCTGGTGACTTAGCAACCCTGCAAGCGGCAGCTCAAGCCCTTTAAAGGAATCTCAGCTCTGTGGACATGACTTACCCAGATGAGAAGGGAGAGGTACCATTAGTGCAATCCTAGGTTACACCTTTACTCCAGGAGATGTAGCCAGGTAGGAGTCTGGAGACAGCCCCTGTGCCTCCCTCTTTAGGTATCTTGAATGTTCTTTGGAACTTTATGTGAAGTTCCTTCGCACACTCATGCTTCTCTTGGAGAACCTTTTATCTTTTTTTTTTTCTTTTTAAGATTTATTTATTTATTTTTATGTGTATAGGTGTTTTTGTCTGCATGTGTATGTCTGTGTACTATATTGCATGCCTGGTACCCTCAGACGCCAGAAGAGGGCGTCAGATCCCCTGGAACTGAAGTTACAGACAGTGTGAGCCACCATGTGAATTTGAACCCCAGTTCTCTGGAAGAACAGCCAGTGCTCTTAACTGCTGAGCCACATCTCTTCACTCCCGGAATGATATATCTTAATTTACCTTTGAGAAGTGGACCCGAAGACAGTAGATGAAAATACACTTGCTGAGCCAGGCGGTGGTGGTACACACCTTTAATCCCAGCACTCAGGGAGGCAGGAGGCAGATCTCTGTGAGTTCAAGGCCAGCCTAGTCTACAGAGTGAGTTCCAGGACAACCAGCGCTACACAGAGAAACCCTGTCTCAAAAAACAAACAAACAAACAAAAACAACCCCCCAAACAAAACAAAAACAAAAAACAAAACAAAAACAAACAAAAAGAAAATACACTTGTTGGCCCCTTAAGGAGCGGGAGAAATTCCGAGAAATATATCCTTGGGCAATGCCTGCAAATGTCACAGAGTGAATTTACATAAACCAGTTTTACAGAGAACCACTGTCATGAGCCTCATTGTTCAATCCTGCTCTTAGGACTTAATGTCACTGGGAGAGCAGGCCTCTCAGTTTGCTACTTTGGACTCCCATGTACCTTACCTCACAGACTGTAAGTGTGTGTTAAAGAAAGGTGTTTCTTCCTTCTACTAGGTGAGCAAATGTCTGCGGCTTCCATTTTTCCCTTTCTGCCATGGCTGCCAGGAAGCTTGGACCTGCATTTTCTAAGTCTCGTCACAGCACTAGCCTCCCTGTTCAGGAAATTCTTTGTCATATCCTATGATTTTTTCTTCTTCTTTCTCTTTGGAGAGTCTTGTTCACAGTTTGATTTTGCAGAGAAAGATGTACTAGTCAGAGTTCTCTAGGGGGACAGAACTGACAGAATGAACGTATGTCTCAAAGGGGTTTTTGTTAGCTCGCTCCACATGGACAGGCTGGGCAGTCTGGTACGCTGTGCATACTGGAGAGCCTGGGAACCCAGGTGCCGCTTAGTCAGTGAGGCTGGATGTTACAGCACTTCTGACTTGGTGCCGAAGCCCGAAGGACTCCTGGAGAGCCACTGGTCTTTATGTCAGAAGGCCAAAGAAGCCGGGGTTCTGACACCAGTGAAGGGTGGTGGCAGCGGCGGCAGCAGCAGCAGAGTGGATGCACTCTCCAGCAGGGCACAAAGGCAGGCAGGCAGGCAAAAGGCAGCACTTCCTCTCCTTTAGATCTCTTTATACTGGGTCACCAAGAGAAGGTGCTCATGGCAGGGGAGGGGCAGTCTCTCTCCTGCAGTTAGTCCTTCTAGGAAATACCTCCTCTGTACTAGTCAGGGTTACTGTTGCTATGATGAAACACCATGGCTAAAAGTAACTCGGGGAAGGAAAGGTTCATTTAGAGTACATATCCTGAATTGCCGTTCAGGGAGGGAGGCCAAGATAGGAACTCAAACCAGGCAGGAATGTGGAGGCAGGAGTTGATGCAGAGGCCATGGAGGAGGGCTCCTGAATGGCTTTCACCCCATGGCTTGCTCAGTCTGCTTTCTTATAAAACTGTGTACCATCAGCCCGGGGGTGGCCCCCACCCACAATGGGCTGGGTCCTCCCATTAATTAAGGAAATTCCCTACAGCCCTATCCTATGGAAGTGCTTTCTCAATTGAGGTTCCCTTTCCTCTGAGATGACTATGGCTGTGTCAAGTTGACATAAAACTAACCAGCACTCCTGCGCAGATACAACCAGAAGCTTGTCTCTTAGTTGATCCCAGACTCAATCAAACTGACAATCAAAATTGGTGCGTCTTGTGCAGAACAGTCAAATGATTGTGATTGTAAGGAAGCATAACCCCAGATGTTTAAAAAGGCAGAAAATCTGCCTCCTCCTAATGGATCTGACTATATCCAGGGAACCTGAAGCAAAGCAGTCATGTTCAAATGTGTATCCAGGCCCTCAGCTCATGAGCGCTCCATGTGTACCAGGACCCTCACTTGGTCCCAGAGACTCAGTGGCAGAGCAGCCACTGGCTTGCTTTGTATCATTCTCTTAGCTGTTCATCTAGAGTCCCAGCTGCACAGAGCGTCTAGCCCACACTCCACAACTCTCTCTCTCTCTCTCTCTCTCTCTCTCTCTCTCTCTCTCTCTCTCTAGTTTTGTGTCTCTCTCTCTGTATTTGTTTGGCAAGCGCTCTACCACTGAGCTAAATCCCCAAACCCCACAACACTCTCTATATGGAAAGACCACAACATTGTATTTTGCAATTCCTGTTGATGG